GAGGTAATAGAAAAGACGACAACTGCAATTGCAAATTTATGTCGAGTAGAATTGATCAAATTGATTACATTTTGAAAATAGTATAATATTCAGAAACTCTGACATACACAGCTAAATGAAAAAATGTTAAAAGATTTATTCGTGTAAAAAAAAATTTTTATAATGAAAATGAAAAAGAATAGCAGAGAACAAGAATTTTTAAAGCGTGTGAAGAATGCGGTCACACGTTGCGTTCCTGAAAGAACAAAGTAACTGCTTGAGCGTTGCGTATATTGAGAGAAAAAAATGGTTGCAACTACCACAATTTAACTATAATTTACAATCATTTTCGGTGTCAACTATATTTTTTTGAAGAACTATTAATATAATTGTTAATATTATATACAATAATACTTACAAAAATAGAGCTTCTAATCATAATTATTTTACTGTGCATTTATAATCACAAATATCAAATTTTCCTTTCATCATATCAACATTACCAATAATATGTATGAATAAATCGAATCATATGATAACATGATGTTGCAATATACAACTACATTGTAGTACTATTGCAATATTATTGCAATACTAATATATATACAACTCAAATTTCATAATTAGAGTGACAAAGTGTCTCGCGGATTAATTATAATTTATGGTCATTTTCGGTGCCAACTATGTTTTTCGTAAAACTCTACAAGTATAATAATTATTACTATTATAGCAGTAATTATAAAAATGGAGCTTCTAGCTATAATTATTTTATCATGCAATTATAGTCACAAATACCAAACACCTTTCTCTGAGTATACAACGGAAATGAGTGGAAACTTTGGTAATTGACCACAGAGATGGTAAAGAGAAAATAAACAGACGGTATTCATTTTCATTCCTCCACAGGGAATAGATGCGACAGGAACCGCAGAGGAGAGAGTACCAATGTACGAGTACATACTTCCGATATCCACCAGCGCGTGTAATGCCGGCCGCATCACCGCCACCACCATCACCACTATCACAACAAGGATCTCACAACTGATAGCATCAACACTCCTAATTGTGATACATACACTTTAATATTGCCATATATTTGATGATTAAATTTTTCTGTAATAAGAAACATCTTTTCACTTACGCCATTAAAATAATATGATTTAACGAATTCACTGTGATGATCACCGTGACCAGTACTGAACTTTTCATTTACGTCACGTGGGTCACCGACAACTGATACTAAACTTTTTGTTTAACATATGAATGTAGTTTATGTTATCACACATATACAGTTCTATAATATATTATATTGTTTATTTACGTTTTTTATCGTCTAAAGAGACGTTGTTCCTTCATATGTCAAAAAGAATATCACTAAGGTCTCAGTAGTCTAAAGGACGCTCGCACGGAATGCAAGAGATCCGGATTTGACTCCCAGCCGAGGTAATATTTTTCGCAATAAGAACTAATTATTTACAGATTTTAACATCAACATTATTAAGATCGTTTCGAAGATGCGAATGAGTCAAAAATTTGTTAAACTATTAGTCAATTTAACTCGTAATATTACTGCGGTAGTTTAATAAAAGTTAGCGTTTCAAGAAATCATTTTGACACGCGTTTCTGGGAACTACGTAATATATAAATTCACACAAGAATCATACGAGCATTAAGATTCAGACCGTTTAAAGCTTTAATTTCTATAGTTTGTGTTATATGTCCTATAATATATTATATAATATATTATATAAATGTATGCTTTGTATATTGCTGGTGACTGTCAAATAAAATGTAAAATGAATAGAATCAAATAAACATCAATAGACTTATAAGATGGTAATAATCGATTTCGAACATGGTACACTGAAAAAAAAAGTTTGGATTTGATTATAATTGTAGGATAAAATAATTATGATTAAGAGCTTGTTTGTTTTTTATGATTATTACTACTATAATGTAAAAATAACCTTATATGTATAATTATTTCAAACACGAAAAAATTATAATTTCTAACAATTTCAGGTATTAATGTAATAAAATATCAATATATATAAGTAAAAAAATAAACATTTTTATTGAGTAAGCGCAATCGTAATGATAGTGAATATAATTATTTTCTTAACTTTATTTATTATTTATGCAATGATACCTATGTTTATCAGAAATATTATAAGTAAAATATTATAATAACCAAATTTTTAGCTTCGACTAAGTTATTTTATTGCCCATATTCAAATAAGAGATCAGTTGATTCAACCAAACGGAATTCTCAGTGCACTTGTCGCTGAATGTATTAATTATCTCATCTGAGGAAGATCAAAAAATCGACGAATGTCCCAGATCATAAAATTTCCTTGCACAAATGTAGTTGTGCCGATATCATACATACAGATTTTATTGCTTGTTTTATTGCCGTTGCGTATACTTCATGTGTTCGTTTTGCAGCTGTGCACGTTCATCGCGCTCGGATTTTTGCCGTGCGATGGAATTTCGTTATTTCCGTCGTAGAGTCGGAAGCGGTCGGTACTGTCGTACTTTCTTGTCAAAACAATGTGGGATCCGCATGCCACAAAAGAACATTTATATGTTCAGAGGAATACAATGCTCTGTATATATGGACTGGAAGCGGAAAGGTTCTCGCGTTTGTTTTGTGGTTTTTGGCACAAATAACATTTTAAAGATCGCTGTAATTTTAGTCACCGCGACCTCTTTCTTTCACAGAATCGTTTTAATAACTGAGTTGTTTAAATCAATTGTATATATAAAACCTATAATCTGAGCCAGAGAGAGTACATGATATACGAATTTCTTATTTTATAATATTTAAAAGAATATATATCACAAATAAACATTTCGATCCGTGTTTTGAATCCTCCTCAGTATAAATAATTCGCAAGCTTTAATAATTACAATGTCTCATATTTATATTAATGGTCAGATGAATATATTTTCTAGCGAACAACTTTGCATCAAATTGCTCGATTTGCTGAATAAACATTTAAATTAAATGAACTATTGTATTTTATGTTAAAAAATAAACAATAATTAAATTAAAAATATAACTTACATGTGATAAATATGATTGGACGAATCATAGACATTATTATATTGACATGTTCATTAACTGTAGTTACTCAAGCGTTATGTAACTGAATTGAATAAGTAAATAATAAATTCAGATAGTCACGTATATAAATTATTAAACTTACACAAACACTGAGAATTTCTATATCAATATTAATTCTATCAATATTAATTTCTATATCAATATCAATAACTTGCTAGTCAGGTACTAAATGCTAATAATAGTTATAAAACATAAAATACATACAAATAATACAACAAGGCAAAAGCAAAAACTGAGTTATTTAAATAAATAACAGAAAGAACTTTATGATTAGATTTTGGAAAGTGGAATATATATGAAAAAAAAAAACAATTTTATTGAATTATCTTAAAATGTAGATAGATATGTCTCTGAGAAAATTTTATTTTTATTAAAATAATGTAATGTATTTTTATTAAAATAATATAAAATAAAATAATGATGTTATAGAAAACTCAAGTATGATAAAATGTTGATTGCTAGAATGTCAGTAAAAACAACTGACTTGATCGTCCTATATAGATAATAACTTTGATGAATTCCAACAAAACTGTTTTCAAATCTATATATCCTTAAATTTTTGATATTTCAATAAAATCATTCTTTTCATGTAAATATGATTTTTCTGTTTTCATTTTTAATTTTAGATCGAAATAAATTTTCCTCATTTCAAGCTATCGAAGCTGCATGATTCGCTACGAGATATTACGTAATACAGTTTCAAAGTTCGGCGTTATCGATCTAAGAAATTTGCGAATCTTCGTAATTCGCGTGAGGATGACGTGCCTGAAAAGTACATTAGCGAACGCAATTTGCAGTTCACGCGACACCCGTCCCGATATGCAAACCTTCGATTACACGGCCAGAGATGCATCAAGTTTAAATTGAATAATGTCCGTTCCGCAAAACGAGCCTCCATCGTCCGATAACGCCGCGGCAATGATAATATATAATTCAATTAATGTCCCACGCGACGTGCGCAATGGGATACGCTCATTTTAGTTTGCTACTCGTCGCATGTTGAGATCCTTTTTAGCCGTTTTTCCTAGCTCGCGTCATGATCTCGCTAATACCCCCTCGTTGGCATATGTAACTTTATAGCCACTACATCCGCATTGATGATTTTCCCGTAAAATGGTTTGCCGCGTCGTCGAGTTAGCGAAATGTCGTAATCCGGAACACATCTCTCTCCCTCTTTCTCTCTCTTTCGGTTGATGAAACGGGAATATATGTACGCAGGTTATCCCGCTTTTATCGTTAATATCCCAAAATGTACATCTTTTAGTGTAATTTATGCTGACTATTTATAGAGAAGCGTAGAAACGTAATGGCCAGTAGCTGCCGGTTCCATTATTGCCATTTATCCGCTAATCCTACTAATATCCCGAAAGATATATTAATTTTCGATGTAATACTTTTTATGTCCCTGACGTTGCAGAATAAACCGGTCGCACTTGATGAAATACACACTCATATGCGATGTATACCCGTGCAATTATCATGGATACATTCGTATCTGAGCCATTTATGATCTTTATCATTCATTTTCGCTTTTCCATAGGGAAGGATATTGACGATAATGTCGGGGAAGCATTTTTAATTCAAACTGTTCTATCGATATCGCTGCTAATAGATTCAATACGTTTCATAAATAATAGCCATAAATTTTTTTATACATTGATACATCCGCTGTATTTATCTTCCCGAATACGAGTATTTTCATACATTAAAGAAAAGAACTGCATTCATCAATCTACTCGAATCGAATGTAAACTTACGTATTATTTTATATTATCTCATGTTTGGGAACAAAATTGAATTTTCGATTCACATCATCATTAATGCATTCGTCATGTAGATGATAAATGTGTTACTAGAAAAAAAGAACTACGTTATTTTAGGAAATGTCGTGTACCTGGGTATTCCTTGTATATCCGTATCCCATAAACCTTTCATCGTGGGGCGGAACGATATCTTTCGCTACGTAAAAAGGCTCGTAAAGGAATTCGAAATTCGTCACATCATGACTAATGTACACCTTACCCGTCTTCACATTTTCGTGATGCACATGGTTCAGTGACACGTCCTGCAGCCACCTATAAAATAAAAAAACTGTAAAATAAAAAGACTAAATATTTGTGTCATGAGTCTCATCCACAAAACTATTTTATATTTCACGATACATATTTTATGTACGCAAAATTATATACATATGCATGCCACGTAATTTTGTTTAAATTGTTAACTAAAAAAATAAAAATACAATCTCTAAATAATGATAAAATTATTATTAATAAATTATTACTAAAGTACAAATAATGCAACTTGTCGTAAAAAAAAATCATTATGAATTTATAGTCTGTTGAGCATTTAATCAATTTCAATCAACGGATATTAAATTGATTAGTATTTTAATTGTTTCCAATTAATTAGCGAACATAATTTCAAGAAATTTATAAAGAGCTAATGTAATATTAAATAACGTTTAATTACAATAATTGATATAAAGTGTCATTTACCTCGTGAAATTCGTGGCAAACTGATTATGTATAAAGACTTTCTGATGGAAAGGCCTGGCCAAACCTTTCGTGGCGAGCCTAATTAGCTCCGTCTTATTTGGAGGAAACCTCACGCGCGTGTCCAACTCGTACGTGGGTATTACATAGGCGCACTTATCACAGTTGTCGTTCCTAAGGAACTCGTCGAGCACGACCGTCAGATTGAAACTCGGGACAATGTCGACATCCGTTAAAAACACATAGTCCGTCTGGCAGTTTTTGCGCGCCAGGTTCCGCATGTGATTCTGCGGATATACATTCCGTATCCGCCAATTGGTCTGCTCGCTGGGCACGCGGCTCATGAACTCGTTGAGGGTGGCTTCCGGTTTGGCACAATCGACACGGTCCGGCAGTTCGAAAACGCGTGGCTGCTTCTTGGGCATTCGCATCTTCGGCACGGCAAGAGAGAAAATCACTCTCTCTCTGATAGATTCGTAGCACCTCCTCAGATACACCAGGTAACGCTGCAACACCTCAAATTCTTCATCACCGGCAGCATAGAGCGCTACGGACATCGGACCGGTCCAGTGCAAGGCGACTTGAACCAGTGAGTGTAATTTTTCCACGGAGCTCTGGGTAGCCAGACACACCCGATAGGTCTGCGAAAGCTCCGTGAACCTGCTGCCGACCAGCACCGAGTCGTACATCCGGAACATCCGCCGGGCGTCCCATCTACCGAGCTTAATGTCCAGCTTGAGACTGTTAGCGTCAGGTGACGCGGGCTGGTAATCCTGCGTGATGCACTCTGATTGTTGCTCGTGCTTGACGAGAGTGCCGAGATTCCACTCAGTGACGGCGTTCATCTCCACTTCCCGCGGGATCGCTTCTGGCGCGCAAGTCTCCGATTGCAACAGCAGGAATGTTAGCAGCATATTCGACAGCGCCAGGATGATCACGCTCGTTAAACTGAGATTCCATGGTCGGCATCCCAGCTACAAGAAAAAACAAATTTACAGCTGATTGTTCATCGTTCACATTGTTTTACGCGGGCACTGTATGGATAAAATGACTTTGCCTAAAGTCTAAGAATTTATTTGGATACAGATTTAAAAATAATTGAATCATTGAAATAATTATATGATGTTCAAGCACAGTTGAGCAATGTTGCAAAAAGTTTTAACGTTCTAACAACCAACTTGAGGTCCTACGTAATTATTTTAATAGTCTAAATTATTTTCAGATTTGTATCTAGCTAAATATTTACGTACTTTAGCAAATCGATCTTCCCGCATGGATATCATTTTAGAAAGAAAGTTCATATTGTGTGTGTGTGTGTGTGTGTGTGTGTGTGTGTGTGTGTGTGTGTGTGTGAATGAGTGACTTCGTAGATGTACAAAAATAATTCTAATCGACAATTATATGAATTTTGATTTCATAGAATTAAAGAAAGATTTATTTTAATTAACATATTTTATGTATCTTCTCCTTTTCGCGAGATCAATATTCATAGTCCTTCAAGACTATCTTAAATATATTAATATGCTAATATTAACAGCTATGTAATTTATATAGCTATGTGGTTTATGATGCCTTCAAACTGTACTTAAAACGATCTCAGATACAAAAGACTATGACAAGAATTAAACTCACTCAGAATGATACCAATCTCGGTAATATATGCAATAAAGCGAAGCGATAATATATGCGACGATAATTATACAAATTCTGCTATAAGGACACAAGTTATCATCGAATTTTTATTTTCCTCGAGGAAGGGAATAAAATTGCTGAAAATGTAGAAAATAATCGTGAGGCGAATATCATGTGCTCTCGCCATAACGTATTCGAGTTAAGAAGGCCGAGGAGCAACTTCCTTCGTTGTTCGCGTTTTATGTTCGCCACTTATTCTTCTAGAACCGCGAGGCACAATGTGTCGCCGGTCAGCGTGAATAATTTCTTAGAGATACGTGAGAGGAATAAAGCGACTCGCGACGAGAGATGAAGCCGTATAATGACGAGAATCTTGTATTAGTCGACTAACGTTTCGAGAAAGGCGCTAAATTACACCGAATCAAGCGAGTTGTCAAAAACAGTTGGAGTTCATACAAAATTTATCATTTATTGACAGCAGATAAATTTACAAAAAAAACGCATCTTGTTTAATGAAAGAATTCAATAAAAGATAAATTTTTTAAATAAGATACACATATAAAAAAAAATACAATTCAATATTTTGTTAGTTTTGTTTAGTTGTACAGCTGCTATAAATTCGATAAATGATTAGCTTTGAAATCCAAAAGAATCGTTCCTATGACTAGAACACGAGATTAAAGCAAACGGCAGGAAAATACACCAGGCAAAATGCAGTCAAGCACGCACACGTTGTTCTACACCATCTCTGAACGTATCAAAACGTGTAATCGGATTATATCCTTCGCGCGTATTTGCGAGGAAAGTCAAGAAAGCCAAGCGAGGGTGCGTTTAAACTGGGGATATTTCGCTCTCTTCTATAAATAGGGAGATTACCGCAGCACACATTGGGGCAATTTCAGAAAAGCATGGTCAAAAGCATAATTTTCGTTCAAAGGCAAAGAAAAAACGATGCAACATATGTTTTAAATATTTTACTTTTGAACTGAAATTATTTTATATCCATAACGAAATAATGGCAAGACTGTAAAGAACATCATTCATCACTTAATATATTTTTGTACGTTAAATTGTATACAGAAAAAAGTTTAAAAATTAATAAAAATTTACCCATACAGAATTCTTTAAAAAAAAAAGTCTGAAAACCCTAAAATATCTAAAAACGATCAACTATAACAAAAAATATGTAAGAAGCAATATTGTAGAATTAAAAAAATGTATCTAATGGTGATAAGAGTTTGATTATAATATATAAGTCAGTGGATAATATTCACAGTCCATAGTTCAAGATGATTTTAAGTAATTTCTAATAAAAAGATATTGTAATATTAATATGGATCTCTTTCTATGATTGATTTATATGACATCTTAAGTCTGAATTTAAAATGGTCTTAAATATAAGATTATGAATATATCGGCCATACATTACGTCAGAATTAAAATGTTAATATTATCATATAAAAGATTCAAATACAAAATATTTTTACAGCTGTAATTAAAAGTCAATATAATCTTATGCAAACAAATTGAAAATACTCGTCGTATATCTCTCTTTCATCTAAAAATAAAATATTTTTCTTACGTGTAAAAGTTTTTTTTGCCAAATCAGTTAAACTAAAATAATTTGTACAAAATTATCTTACAAATTATATTTAATATATATAACATATTTGTTATTAAAATAATATAATACACAACTTACTAGTTAAAACTTGAGATAAAAACACAAATCCGCAACTTTAAAAACGCAAAATTTGCAACTTCATATTTTGACTGTTAGTCACGTTTTTCAGAAAGTTTTTACGAAAATATCTCACTATGCGATGGACGTTCTAAGCGAAGAACTTACGATAACACCGCAACGGCTGGCGTTGTTTTTAAACAAACTCATGGAAGTGGTTCGGTCACTGGCGAAAGTAAACTGCCGAGCAACTTACCGATAACAGTTTGTTGTGACTGTTGAGTGCAGAGCAAGGACAAAGACTACTTTACCTAATTACGTTGAGACCGCTAACTAATAGAACCCATTGCAAAAATCTGAATCTTATAACAAGATAACGAGAACGACGGCATCGGATGTCGAAGGCAATAAAAAGAACAAAAGAATAGACGAGAAACATCTGTTATTTTTTTGTTCAAATTCTGTTTAATATAAATATATTTTCTCCTCAAAACTAATAAATAAAAAAAGTAATAAAAGTTATAAAACGTTCAAGGGATTTTATATCACAACTAAATTGAATATAAACTGAGCTTCATATTTCTTTATTTACATTTTTATCCCTGTAATGAATAATTTGAGAACTCAGCTGAGACTTGTCCTACTTTACTGCTCCAGAAAGGTTCCCTTTGGTGAAATGCAATACTAAAACTTAGTGCGTATCGAGTTACTCGCCCCGAGAAATCGAACGCACCAATGCCGGCGACCCTCGCAAAAATCGCTAAACCGCAGCCAACCACTCGACGCTAGGAAATCCGACCTAATGTGCCTTGGGGGAACAATGTATCCCCAGCATAAACGTCGGTCGTAAGTATCCCACCACAGCAAGTTCCACGCTGAGGGCAAAGGGCAGCCGCGGTGTTACCTACTAACTGCAAACCCCACCGAAAATTATATACACACCGATAAGAACTTCGTGGCAACCCTTCCTTGCCACCTCCCCATGTGCCATGCCCACCCGCTTTCCATCTGGATGTTCAACCGGCGGAACTAACACCCAAGGTAAGATCTTCGCGCCCGAGGGATATAAATCATTCCTCCTCCTCCTTCTCCTCCTCTTCTTCCGCCTCTTCTCCTCTTCCATTTCTCCCTTCCTCCATCCTGAACCTCTCAACCTTCCCTTGCCGCATCGACCTGCGGCATCTCACTGACGGGCAAACGTTGGCTATTCGGACGTGCGGTGGTCGTCTTTTCGAGCGCGAACGCGGGAAGGAAGTTTCAAGTGGAAATGCATCTTCTGAAGGAGCCTTGACCGACTTTGGGGAAGCGGATATCGGATGCATTAGGGTGCGGAAAGAGTTGCGCGCGTAATGTACTCTCTTTACTACGCGCGATGTTACGCTCTCTCACGAGGTACAACTTGCATGCGGAACGTGTACCTGTGTGTGTAATGTACGTATGCATACCGCAACGCATTACATGCCGTTCCTCTCGCGGGACAAGCTGTACTCGATGGATATGGCAAGTGCAAATGTTTGACGATTTGAAGACGCATCCAGCAAGCGGTACGTCAACCCGATGCCGACGGAAAACTAATGGGAACGACGATACTTCCGCGATATTCCTATGTGTTATCTCAGCAGGCAAATGATATGGAATGACGAATAAGAACGAAGTTTTTGTTCATTCTTTTCTTTTATCTCCAGTTGATTATAAATTTAACGGATCTAAGTTTAACGTCCGACACTCCAGATACATTTATATCCATAGATGTAGTAATTGAATAAATTAGTTTCAATTTTCAATTCAGGATGATGCAGACCATTTGAATTTAGAATTCCCACGCGAGTAAAATTATCTAATTATAAATATTGCAATGGTACAGTATTGAAATAAATTGTTTGAAATAAATTGATTGAAATAAATTGTTAACATATAGAAATTATAATTGCTTAATGTTTCACTGTTAAATATCAAAACAATGATAATTCAATCCCTTGAATTAATCCCTTAAATAACATTTTGTTATTTTTAACTTCTATGTATGTCAAAATGTAAATCAATCCATTTCTGTGTTAGTTTCAAAGTAAACAACATATTATGCATATTTAAATAAATAATAAACTAAATTTGAATCACATTTAATAATACCTTTGAGTCTAACTGTCCGAGTTAACCACTGTTTTAATTAAATTAATGATATATTGATTAGAAGCAGTAGCAATTTTTAGAAATGATTAAAATCAATTCAAATTGGGTGTAATTTGATATAATAAATTTAACAATCCTTAATCCTTTTTATCTTCTTTAATCAATCAATTAGAAACTTAAAATCAGATCTCCTCCAACGCTCCAGACACATCTGATGAATTGAATAAAATAGTTTCAATTTTCAATATAAATTGTACAGACAGTTTTAATTTAAAATTCCCGCGCAAGTGAAATTATCCAATTATAAGTACCGCAGCGGTATTGAGCGGTGCTGCAGTATTGAGAAAACAAAATGTTAACATGAGAATTAATTGCTGAATACCGTTGCCTGAATACTAGACGATTGGGTTGTGTAGTTTTATTTTGCTATCGAGCTTTTCGTTTGTAACACGCCTACAAAGCAGTAACATACTCAATTGCGCTCGTTTGGCGCGTTTTCATGGATAATATTTGAAAACGACAACGTTATATATAAACTCTAGCCATTAAATGTACAGCTGGGAAAAAATATACAGAAAAAGAAACCGCTTGACGAAATTGTTTAAAGCAACGGCGAACCGAAGTTCGCGAATTCCAGCGTATACTATATTTTTCTTAGTGCGCGCCGAGAAAGACCGCCATTACACACCACGGTGGTACGTAAACCAACCAACTTTGTCATAACTATTTTCTTATAATTTGTTCGGCAAACGCGATTTTTCCATCATCATGTTTTCGTTCCATTTCGTTGCTTGTCGTATCATTATTGCGAAAAAAAAAAAGTGCGAACGAGTACCTCGA